GGCCATTGGAGGGTGAACCAACGGCAAAGGAAGACCTTTCTCTCTCTGTCTCTCTCTCTCACTGTCCACTCTGCCTGTCAAAAAAAAAAAAAAATAATCAATTCTCAAAATGTCAAATTTTGCTCAGATACATTATATTTTTATACTATATTAGTTACCACAAATCAAGTAAAATATATGGTATTTGTCTTTTGGGGACTGGCTATTAAGTATAATGGTTCCAGTTGCATCCATTTTGTTGCAAATGACAGGATTTCCTTTTTTTTTTCCTGAGTATTCCATAATGTATGTATACCACATTTTCTTTATCCAGTCATCCATTGATGGGCATCTGGGTTGATTCCATAGCTTAGTGATTATAAATTAATCTGTTATGAACATGGGGGTACAGATAACCCTTTCATATGCTGATTTCATTTCATTTGGGTAAATTCCTAGAAGTGGGATGGCTAGGTCATATGGTTGATCAATTTTCAGGTTTCTGAGGAATCTCTATACTGTCTTCCACAATGGCTGTACTAATTTGCATTCCTAGCAACACTGAATTAGAGTACCTTTTTCCCCACATCCAGGTCAGCATTTGTTGTTTGTCAGTTTCTCTATGAAACTCATTCTAACTAGGGTGAGGTAAAATCTTATTGTGATTTCAATTTGTATCTCCCTGATGTCTAGTGATCCTAAGCACTTTTTCAAATGTCTGTTGGCCATTTGAATTTCCTCTTCTGAAAGATGTCTGTTCAAGTCCTTTGTCCATTTCTTAACTGGATTCTTTGTTTTTTTTTTGTTGTTGTTGTTAAGGTTTTTTTTTTTTTTTCAGTTCTTTACTGATTGTGAATATTAACTCTTTATCAGTTACAGTTTGCAAATAATTTCTCCCATTCTGTTAGTTACCTCTTCACTTTGCTGAGTGTTTGCAGTGCAGGAGGTTCTAAGCTTGAAGCAATCCTATTTGTCTATTTTTGCTTTGATTGTCTGTGCTTCTGGGTTCTTTTCCAAGAAATCTTTGCTTATACCAATATCTTGCAGAGTTTCCCCAATATACTTTAGTAATTTGATGGAATCATGTCATAGATTTAGTTCCTTGATCCATTTTGAATTGATTTTTTGAATAAGGAATAAGGTAGAGGTCTTGTTTCATACTTGTGGAGATCCAATTTTCCCAGTACCATTTGTTGAAGAGACTGACCTTTCTCCAGGGATTTATTTTATCTCCTTTGTCAAAGAGTAATTGGATGTAGATGCATGGATTGATTTCTGGCTTTTACTTTTTAAGATTTATTTTATTTATTTGAAAGAGGTAGAGACAGAGAGAGGTCTTCCATCTGCTGGTTCACTCCCTAAATGGCTGCAATAGCCAGAACTGAATTGATCTGAAGCCAGGAGCCAAGAGCTTCTTACAGGCCTCCCATGTAGGTGCAGGGACCCAAGGACTTGGGTCATCTCCTGTTGCTTTCCCAGGTACATTAGCAGGGAGCTGGATCAGAAGTGGCCTTGAACCGATACCCATATGGAATGTAGGCACTGCAGCCTGGGGCTTTAACCTGCTGTGCCACAGCACTGGCCCCAACTTCTGGGGGTTCTATTCTGCCCCCGTTGGTCTATATGTCTTATTTTTGTGCCAGCACCAGGCTATTTTGATTATAACTGCCCTGTACTATGTCTTTAAATTTGGTATTATAATGCCTATAGATGTGTTTTTGTTGTTTAAGATTGATTTAGCTATTCGGGGTCTCTTCTGATTCCATATGAGTTTTAGCATCATTTTTTCCTATACCTGAGAAGAATGTCATTGGTTTTTAGACTGGGGTTGCATTGAATTTGTAAGTTGCTTTTGGTAGTATGGACATTTTGATTATATTAATTCTTCCAAGGCAGGAACATGAACGATTTTTCTCATTTTCGTGTCTTCTTCTATTCGTTTAATGTTTAGAAATTTTCATTGTAAAGATCTTTCACTGCCTTGGTTAAATTTCTTCCAAAGTATTTAAATTTTTGTGCCTACTATGAGTGAGACTGAGCCATTACGAAAGAAAAAGAAATCAAAGGAATACAAATTGGAAAAAAGGAAGTCAAATTATTCCTGTTTGCAGATAACATGATTCTATATATAGGGGAACCAAAAGCCTCCACTAAAAGAATATTGGAACTCTTAAGATGTTTGTTAAAGTTGTGAGATACACACACAATAAAATATCATTCCTATAAAAAAGAAGGAAATTCTACCATTTGCAGCAAAACGGACACAACATCATTTTGAGTGAAATAAGCCGGGCTCAGAAAGATAAATACTGCATGTTCTCCCTTATATGTAGGAGCTAAAGCTTAAAAAGTAAAAAGAAAGAAAAAATGTCTGTGTATATCAGTATTGTTGCAAATATAGCTTTGAAAACTTTGTTTCATATATTTGTCAAATCAATGTAAGAATGGTTAAGAATGTTATATTGTAATAGTTTTAATGATCTGTGATTACTTTAAAATTTACTGTATATGGGTCAAATGGTCATTTTTCCATTCAATTACTGTTTATAGCTTTGTACTCCCACTAAACCAGGGTATTTTTGCTTTTTACTTATTAAATTTCTTTTCTGTGACATATTAAGCCTTTTTACTGTAATAAAATTTTAAAATATATTACCTCAAAAACTAAAGCAAAAGAAAAGAAAAAAGGCAGAAAGAAAGGGGGAAGGAAAGAGTGGGGGTAGGAAGGGCAGAAGGAAAGGAGTATCATTATGTTCTTGGAATTATATCTATAAATCACATTGGATCTATTAAAAACTAATTAAAATTAAAAAGACAAAAGAAATTAACTAGAACTTTAACAAAAATCATTTGTATTTTTAATGATGGTTTTATTCTTAAGTGATCTGTCTATCCTAAAGGGACTTAGCACATCAGATTATTGTGAATAAGGTTTCATTAATGAGTTTGGGGCATCTTGGCTAATGTATTTCCTCTCACCAGCATATAATGTTTTATAGTGTTACATTCATATTTATTTTCATTGTTATTTTGATCCATTACATTCCCAAATGACAAGAAAGGATTACTGACTCAAACAAGATGCATTGATGCATGTAAGTAGTGATGAAAATAGAACCTAAAAATAACAACTCAGAGTGACACAATAAGCATGAAGAGGGGAAAGAATCCCAGTGTGGTGCATGTTGTGAGGCAAATAAGGGGCTTTCAGCAGCTGATGAACCTGTGAGCAGGAAACAATGACTATAAAAAGAGCACATTCTATTGGCTGTTTGCTCCGAGCGCTTCTTGTGTGTGATGTGCTGTGATGCTTTCTCAAATGAATCGGGGAAACTACTTGAGAGTTGTGCCTCATTTGCAAAGACAGTCCCCTAACTGACAAACCAATTAAGTTGTCCTGGAACAGCTGTAAAATAATGCTTTTCCAGGGCTGGCGCTGTGGCATGGTGGATAAAGCCATGGCCTGCAGTGCCAGCATCCCATATGGGCACCAGTTTGAGTCCTGGCTACTCCACTTCTAATCCAGCTCTCTGGTATGGCCTGGGAAAGCAGTGGAAGATGGCCCAAGTCCTTGGGCCCCTGCACCCATGTGGGAGATCTGGAAGAAGCTCCTGGCTCCTGGCATCAGATCAGCCCAGCTCCAGCTGGGGTGGCCATCTGGGGAGTGAACAAGCGGGTGGAAGACTCTCTCTCTCTGCCTCTGCTTCTCTATAACTCTGCCTTTCAAATAAATAAATAAATAAATAAGTCTTTTTTTAAAAAAAATAATGATTTTTATGACAAAAGTAAAGAGTTTAGTCACTAGCAGTAGAGACCAAAATCATAATGTTATCATTCAAAGTTGCATTCCTAAGTAAGCAGGCATACAGGTTGAAATTGTTTAGGTCTGTTAAGTTGAAAGACCACGCCTTCACCACGCCCCTGTGTGACCTCATGTCCCTACCTGGCCCCACCTGAGCACCCAGGGGCAATCAGATTAATTAACCACTCCCCTTTGAAAGTGGATTAAAAACCTGTGACACGCTGGCGCCATGGCTCACTAGGCTAATCCTCGGCCTGCGGCGCCGGCACCCCGGATTCTAGTCCCAGTTGGGGCGCCGGATTCTGTCCTGGTAGCTCCTCTTCGTGTCCAGCTCTCTGCTGTGGCCTGGGAGTGCAGTGGAGGATGGCCCAAGTGCTTGAGCCCTGCACCCACAAGGGAGACCAGGAGAAGCACTTGGTCCTGGCTTGGTCCTGGCTCCTGGCTTTGGATCAGCGCAGTGTGCTGGCCACAGCACGCCAGCCGTGGCGGCCATTTGGGGGGTGAACCAATGGAAGGAAGACCTTTCTCTCTGTCTCTCTCTCTCACTGTCTAACTCTGCCTGTCAAAAAAAAAAAAAAAAAAAGCCTGTGACACAGTGTGCCTGGCCCTGTTTTCCTTCCCTTTTTTTCCTTTTCCTGGCCTCTTGCCAGTACAGGGCTGACTGCAGCCCTCCACCCCCAGGTCGCATGGCCTTTGGGCCATCTGCCCCACGCTTCTTGGCCTAGATGCTCCTCCACGTGGCTGGTTCCTGGTACTCGGTGTGAACCCAGATTTATCTCTCTCCTTTAGATGGGTCCTTCACTCTCCTATGCATCTTTCATACTGAATAAAAGCTTAAAATGTAAAAAAAAAAAAAAAAACAAAAAAAAACATTTGCACTCCTTATAGTAAAAATAAGGTAAGGCAGCTACATGATTGCAAAAAGTCTTATAAAATAAGTACTGAATTTATGAAACGATGTTCACAAAGAATGCCAATCAGACACATACTGCTAGTGATACAAATCCTTTCTGAAATGGAACTTCAGTCAAGGTACTGGTCTTCAAGGGAAAGAAAGTCACTATCAAATGTATATGCAAAAACGTACTTTGCTTTGGGAGTGAATGATGCCATTAATGTACAAAACATGAATCAAAACAGTATGTATGAAAGTGACATTCTGTTTATTACTAAAAACCAATGCTATTAGAAATAGCAACAATCACTTTTTGTCCTGATCTTTAGTTTGGAAAAATACATGTTGGGATCTTTATTAAAGAAGCCTCAGTCTCCTGCACAAAACAGTGAGCTTCCAGAATAAGAATCCCTAAATTCAAATCAGTTTGCTGCTTTATTGTATTATGCTAGTGATCAATAACGTGCTGCATGACCTTGACTCAGTATTAAAGAAAAAGTAGAACCTGTAAAACATTGGGTTTTTTTCTTTAATATTCATGCTTGAGCATGCTGGGAAAATACACAGACAATAAGAATAAAACTCTTCTAATTCTAAAGAAAAAATGCTCATGTGTGTTTCCAAAAGGGGGGAGACAAAATATTTCTTTATGGCATAGAAATTGTAGTAAAGACTATTTCCGTGATCTCAAGGGGCTTATTGAAGATATTAACTCAGGCTGGCGCCATGGCTCACTAGGCTAATCCTCCGCCTTGCGGTGCCGGCACACTGGGTTCTAGTCCCGGTCGGGGCACCAGATTCTGTCCCGGTTGCCCCTCTTCCAGGCCAGCTCTCTGCTGTGGCCTGGGAGTGCAGTGGAGGATGGCCCAAGTTCTTGGGCCCTGTGGGGAGCAACTGGGAGCAACTCGGACTAGACTAAGTTACTGGAATTAAGACTTATTCTATGCATCTGCTCTCCCACAATATGGCGCTGGGAGAGGAGAAAACAGCTTCTACACAGCTGCCTCCAGTTCAACCAATAAGCAGCAGGACCTGCTCCTGATTGGAGGAGAGCAGCGTACTCGGCGTGTGGGCAGCCGAGTTGGGATTGGTGGAAGAGGACTATAAAGGAGGAGAGAGACAACATGCATCGGGGAACATCTAAGAGGAACACCTGTGCAGCCCCAGAGAGAGCCGGCCGGCGGTGTGCCGCTCCCCCGCGGAAGTGGGGAAGGTGGCAGGGGGAACCGCCCTTCCACGGAGGTGGAAGGGTCGGTAGCCAACCCGGGAAGAACCAGCAGCAAACACGGGGAGGGCCGAGCAGACAAAAGAACAGCGCAGGGTCCTGTGTCATTCCTCCACGAAGACGGGGAGCGACAGGGTCCTGCACCCCATGGGAGACCATGAGAAGCACCTGGCTCCTGCCATCGGATCAGCGTGGTGCACCGGCTGCACCGCACCAGCCGCGGCGGCCATTGGAGGGTGAACCAACAGCAAAGGAAGACCTTTTTCTCTGTCCTCTCTCTCACTGTCCACTTTGCCTGTCAAAAAACAAAACAAACAAACAAACAAAAAAAAAAAACAACAAAAAAAGAAGATATTAACTCAGTCACATGTGTGAAATCAGAAATAGCCAGCCAATATCAGGACTCAAGTATAACAATTTTAAAAATTTTTATGATGTTTTATTTATTTGAGAGGTAGACTACGAGTTCCCATGCCTGCAGCTGTCAAGGCAGACTGGGGCCAGAACCAAGAACTGGAAACAATATCCAAGTCTCCAGTGCAGATGGCAGGAACCCAATTATTTGAGCCATTACTGCTGCATTGCAGGAACCTGGGGTCAGGAGCTGGAGCCAGGAATTCAACCTGGACACTTGGATGTGGGATGCAGGCATCTGAATTGTTATGCTAAAGACCCATTCAAATATCAAATAAAATAATTATTTTAATGAAAATTTATAAGAAGTCCACCTAGTGAATTAAATAACATAAGCATTCAGTTTTATCCCAATATTTGATATTTTATTTTTCTCACTGAAGAAAGACATTAAGAAATGTCTTGATGTACAGTACAGCTTACTACCAGTGAGTTAACCAGTAATCTATTTTCCACTATCTCCCAAGTTATACTTTTGAATATTCTAGCATTTCACTGTGTCTAGTTCTGAGCACTTGACAGAACCATCCAAAAATTTGCAACCATGTGAGGTAACTTATAATTGTAAATTAGGTTTTATTGTAGATGGTGAAGTAGGGAGGGAGCTAATTGCTCTAGTCTAGGAGAAGATAGCTTTTAAAAAGTGGAGAGAGTGCAGTCTCAGGGAAGAGATAGGGAGAAAATGGCAGAGGAAACTGCATTAGAGGGACACAGTGGACCTACGTGGAGGGCATGGACACACAACTCAGGATCCCAGCAGTTGAGAGCTTCCACACCAGCAATGAAGTGTGAGGTGAGACCAGACTGCAGTAGTCCAAGCCATTGGCAATAAAGCTGAAGGAAGATCCTAGAGGAAACCTGGCTTGGAGCCCCATGTGGGATAGTGTACTTGCCAAACTAGAGGAGGAAATAAAAAGGGAGGGGCACATTTCTCTCTCCCCGATCACCTTACAACAGCATTCAATAACAAGCCAATAAAGATAACAAGCCAATAGAGTGGGTGCCATTTTAGACATATATAACAGCTGCACCAGCCTGTGTCTGCACCCAGCAACCAGCCAAGTGAGACTCCTGACGCTGATGGGGAGAACTAACAGGGAGCTGGGTGCTCGTGTGTAGGAGGCTTGTGTGCCAGAATGTAAAAATCTGAGACTATGTGGGAGGGCTCACAGTGTGGCTGGACGTTGGGCAGTTACTGTAGGAGGCTCCACACCCTCAGGGCTCCCAGGTTACCTGTTGAGGGATATTGATGGGGAACCCAAGCTTACAGTGAGGACTGCAGAGATCTCTTGTGTGGTTCTTGTGGCAGAGTAGCAGGATATAAAAAATCAATACACAAAAAAACAATATCCTTTGTATACACAGACAATGTGAGGCTCAGAATGACCTTGTAAAATCAATTCCATTCACAATAGCTAAAAAAAATCAAATACCTTGGAATAAATTTAACCAAGGATGTCAAAGATCTCTATAATAAGAATTACAAAACATTAAAGAAAGAAAAAAAAAGAACATATAAAAATGGAAAAATCCTCCATATTTATGGATTGGAAGAAGCAATATCATCAAAATGTCCATTCTCCCTAAAGCAATTTACAGACTCAATGCAATACCAATCAAAATATCAAAGACTTTTTTTCTCAAATAAAGGAAAAATGATGCTGAAATTCATATGGAAACACAAGAGACCTTGAATAGCTAAAGCAATCTTATACAACAAAAACAAAGCTGGAAGCATCACAATACCAGATTTCAAGACATACTACAGATCAGTTATAATCAAAACATCCTGGTACTGGTACAAAAACAGATGGATAGACCAATGAAACAGAACAGAAACACCAGAAATCAATCCAAGTATCTACAACCAACTTATATTTGACCAAGGAGCTAAAACCAATCCCTGGAGTAAGGACAGTCTATTCAACAAATCGTACTGGGAAAACTGGATATCCATGTGTAGATATGAAACAAGATCCCTACTTTACACCTTACACAAAAATCCATTCAACATGGATCAAAGATATAAATCTATGACCTGATAACATCAAATTATTAGAGAACATTGGGGAAACCCTGCAAGACATTGACACAGGCAGAGTTCTTGGAAAAGACCCCAGAGGCACAGCAATCAAAGCCAGAATTCACAAGTGGGATTACATCAAATTGACCAGTTTCTATACTGTGAAATAAACAGTGAAGAGGCAACTGGCAGAATGGGAGAAATTTTTTGCAAATTTTTTTTTTATTTTTTTTTTATTTTTTGACAGGCAGAGTGGACAGTGAGAGAGAGAGAGAGAAAGGTCTTCCTTTTGCCGTTGGTTCACCCTCCAATGGCCGCTGCGGCCGGTGCGCTGCGGCCGGCGCACTGCGCTGATCCGATGGCAGGAGCCAGGAGCCAGGAGCCAGGTGCTTTTCCTGGTCTCCCATGGGGTGCAGGGCCCAAGTACTTGGGCCATCCTCCACTGCACTCCCTGGCCACAGCAGAGAGCTGGCCTGGAAGAGGGGCAACCGGGACAGAATCCGGCGCCCCAACCGGGACTAGAACCCGGTGTGCCAGCGCCGCTAGGCGGAGGATTAGCCTAGTGAGCCGCGGCGCCGGCTAAATTTTTTGCAAATTATGCAGCAGTTATTAAAAGATTAATAACCAGAATATACAAAGAAATCAAGAAACTCCACAACAACAAAACAACCCAGATAATAAATGGGCAAAGGACTTAAACAGACATTTTTCAAAGGAGGAAATCCAAATGGCAACAGACACATGAAGAAATGTTGAGGCTCTCTAGCCATCAGGGAAATGCAAATCAAAACCACAATGAGGTTTTACCTCTCTCCATTTAGAATGTTTTCATACAGAAATCAACAAATTACAATTGCTGGTGAGGATGTGGGGGAAAAGGTACCCTAATCTACTGTTGGTGGAAATGTAAACTGGTAAAGCCACTATGGGAAGACAGTATGGAGATACCTCAGAAATCTGAATATAGACCTACCATATGACCCAGCCATCCTACTCCTGGGAATTTACCCAAGGGAAATGAAATCAGTAAATAAAAGAGCTGTGTGCACCCCCTTGTTTATTGCAGCTCAATTCACAATAGCTAAGACATAGAATCAACCTAAATGCCCATCAGCTGAAGGCTGGATAAAGAAATAATGGGATATGTACACTATGGAATACTACACAGCAGTAAAACAAATGAAATCCAGTCAATTGCAACAAAATGGAGGAATCCGGAAAACATCATATTTAATTAAATAAGCCAGTCTCAAAGGGACAAATACCATATGTTCTCCCTGATCTATGAGATTGACTAGAGCACCTAAAATGAAATCTGTAGAAATGAAATTGACATTGACTCTTCAAGTAGGAATGACTAAAGCGGCCATGTGTTGACTGTCAAAGAACAGTTTTGGTTGTTTTTTTTTTTTTCTTCATACTATTTGTTGAACTCTTAACAGAGTTGATCATATGTGTATAAAGTCAATTGAAGATGAGTCCCATTGAAAAATAAGAGTGGGAATAAGAGAGGGAGGAGGAAGTTTACAACTGTAAAGTTATATAGTTCTGCATACATTCCTACAAAATTACTTCTAAGGGTAGTTTAAAAATTTGACATAGGAACCCCAAATCCCATTAAGCTGGGTGTTAAAAATGGCATATTAAGTGTTAAAGTGATCATATTAAGTGTTAAAGTGAACATATAAATATAATTCAGTGTTAAAGTAATCATATAAATAGGATCAAGTGTCTGATAATAATAGAATTAAAAAGGAAGGAGAGAATGTTCTAACATGGGAAGCAGTTCACACAGAAGACTCTAAAATGACAATCACTTTAAATAGCATTCTGACATCAGAATCATCCCTTAGGTCATCCTGATCTGGCTGAAATGTCCATGAGAGAATTTCAGGAATGGAAAGCCAAGACACTGTGGGGGAAAAAATGTCCTACATGAAGGATCTCTGTGAGGAGACCCTAGTGGAAAGAAGTGGTCATCAAAGAAGGATGTGCTTTTCTCTGAAGGGAGGGGAGAACTTCCAGTTTGCTTATGGCCTTGTCTAAATACTGACAGAGTTTGTGTATTCAAAAGACTTCCATAGCCTTGACAGCTCATGTCAAGAGCCTCAGGTAGTCACTAACATCATACATAAGAGTGTTAATTTTTAAATTAACAACAGGTGTCACTGCACACTAACTTCCCATACACGACCTCTGTCTTCAATGAGTTGTATTATGAGAATTAACCATAAAACTTGTTCTCAGTTTTCTGTGTGTGTATGTGTGGGTATATGCAAGTTGTTGAAATCTTTACTTAATATAGAGTTGATTTTCTGTGTACAAAGTTAATTGAAAATAAGTCTTAATGGAGAATTGGACTGGGAAGGGGAGAGGGAGGAGGAGGGGTGAGAGTGTCAGTGGGAGGGCAGGTATGTTGGGAAGAATAACTATATTCCTAAAGTTGTACTTATGAAATTTGTGTTCATTAAATAAAATATTTCTTTGGGAAAAAATTGTAAAGTAGAAATTTCTGAACTGGAAGAACTAAAAGAAAAGAAGTTGGTGTGGAATCTTTTTTATGACTCAAGTTATCTCTCCTCAAATTGGAGAGAGTTACCTTGGTAAAAATTAAAAACATCATCCCACTCCCTGATGTAAGATCATATTTACTATATTTTCAATTTTTAAAACATTTTTAACTATTATTTAAATTTTGGCATTATTTTATTGTTTAAAATTTTATAATTCAAATACTAAAATATGTTTTTAAATATATTAAATACATACTGCATGTTTTGCATCATTTATTAACATATATTCCAAATTTTTCATGATTTCTTTAAAACATATTTGTGTGAAGTAGTGATCCATATTTG